ATTTGTAAACACTTTTATATTAACTGAAACAATTCTTATTTTAGCTCCACTGTAGAGTAGTGCTTGAAGTGTAGGCTTCGTATCTTACATATAAATAATTTTGTAATATGAATTTATAAGTAGATTAAAGAAACAGGTGTAACTTAAAAACAAAATCTGAACAATTATGAAAATTATTTATATATTATAAAAATGTAAGAAATATTTATGGCCCTTAAATCATGAGATGAAATATTTCACAGTCTTTAACCCACAAGTGAATAGAATTTATAATAATATTTTATGTTTTGATGTTAATTATATAGTTAGTTATAAATTTTTTATGTTAACTGCTGACAGTTTTATTTTGTTAAAAAAAAGAATAAGTTACTTTTACGAAGGAAAAACATTATTTTATAGCAATATTTTTATGATATTTATTAAAGAATTTCTTATTATAAGAATAACATTGATTCTGATTAATGTATATTCTTATTATACTCGTGAAAGCACATGTAAATTGAAAAATAATTTAAGAGAAAAATAAATATTTTGCTGTAACTATTAAATTTTTTGTATAAAAATGTCATTTGATAACAATCTCCTTTTTTAATCATGTAATAACTTGAAGAAAAAAGATCTTTTAATCTGTTTAAATAGAATTGTAAAATATCAAACTTATGAAATTTCAAATCCTTTAATGCAATGGAATGAAAATTTGCAATTACGCTTTTGATATTTATTTAGCGAACACTGCCAAAAGAGTACAAGTTGAAAAATAATAATTTATTTTTCATTTAAGGTACTTTCCGTTAATGAAATCTCTCTACTTTTTCACCAAACTTAATATTTAGCAGCAAGAAAACTGCCAAAATTACCTTTTTTTCACTTAAAAAAGTCACAAACAAATGGGAAGCACGAGTGATGAAACCCTACATATCATTCCATTTTTCCAAACATTATGCCAGTCAAGTCATGACCAGATAAAGCAGCGTTATCCTCTTTCACCTGATGACCTCTAATCCCGAGTATTTACAATTATTTACACAAAACTTTTGGAATGATCCTTTGGAATGACAACACCAAAAAAGTGAAAGGGGCAGTAGCTCAGTGGGACTTCATAGTTTGTTTATTTTTCATGGTCTACACTACAAGTTTTAAAGTGGGCACTAGAACGACAACAAGATGTTTTTTTTTATTCAAAAAAGGATAGTGTTCTAAAGATGAACATCACTGCGGTAAACGTTGGACAGAAATTGAATTCCTGTAATGGCAGTGGCTTGCAGTCATGCCGTAATATATATAAGTATACATATAAATATTAAACTATGCAAAATTTTTAACACTAAATATTGTTTCAAAAAATGTGCAGTGAGACAGATCTTTCTTTTAACGAAAGCCATATAATACAGGTTGGACCACAACTATTTCCCCATTCAGCCGATTTCTTCTTTTTTTTTTTATAGGAAACTATAACACTAATATTCTAAATCAGATTTTTTTAATTACATCATCCAATGGGAAATTTTTTTTTATGTTACAAAGGTAAAAACTGGACACAAGTTCCCGTTCTTGGTATGTATTTCAAACAGCCTGCTGCCCACTGAGGTTTCTCAACAATTGAATTTTATTACCGTAAATTTTATTTATTTTCAATTTGTATATACATTCATATATATACTATTTGATACATAAATTTGAATTTCTCTCTTTTTATAAAATTTTGAAATACTGTCATAAAAATATATCAAATTTAATGCATAGAAATACATCAAAGAAAATAGCAACAATTGTGATTTTAAGCAGTTTTTCAAATGACAATATAAGATATAATCGACGTCAGTACCAAAATGATTTAGCGTAGTTATAACAAACATCAGTATTGCTCGGTCCAATTTTCATCAAAATAGGGAAAAACTTTAGGACCATTCTATATTATTGTACCACTACAAAAGGAAATATATTTTATTAATATAAAATTTAAAGAATTTACTAAAATATGAGCAATAGTGCTTATTTTTTTTAAATAAAAAAATCAGTAGTCAATTTCATAGAAACTTTTATAGAATTTTAGTATTCCAAAAAATAATACATGAAAATTAAATATATTTCCCATTGTTAAGAATCAATCAAGAAAAAGGCTAATTACCTGGAACGCTGAAACATATAAATGTCTAAGAGTTATCGAACCTAAAACTCAGTACGATAGAGAAGATATAATATGAAAAATAATATATCTGTAAGTTGACGTTTTCAATTGTAGTAAAATAAGTAAATGTTCATGCTTCTTGCAAAAGAAACATGTATCACTCAATGATATGTTTTAAGTTCCTAAAATTAATATACATGAAAGTCAAAATTTTGTAAAAATAATTTCATATTTAAAAAACAAAATAGCTATAACCAAAATTAAATTATTTTCCAGGTAACAGTTGCTACATTATATTAGATATAATAGCAAATCATTAGTATCATACACACCATTTTAAAAATAATTTCACTCTATGCAATAAGATTTTGACTATCTCACTTGTAAAGGAGCATTTTTATAAATCTTCCATTTCTATATGATACTAAATGTTAAAAATATAATAAAAGGTAACTAAAGATTGTCTTAATATATTTTAAAAAAAGAATTAAAATATAGATTTTATTTTATACAATTTATATTCTATCATTAATGACATGCATATACTTGCAGTGTTTTGAAAAAAGCTAATTCAATACGAAAGACTAAATTATCACACCGAAGAAAGTACTTCCGTATCCTACATAGAACAGCAGTTGCTGTCAGTGCACTTAGTTTAAAAGCCCTGTAATAACTTTTCATTCATAGTACAGATTTATTTATTTGATCTACCAGCTCCAATAGTGCCTATCTGACAGTTACAGTTGAGAAATAAAAAAATTCCACATGTCATCACATTTTAAAAAGTTCATTCCTTGAATAAACTCCATTGTAAGAGTTTCTTCATATTAATTACACAAACTACGTTATTACACACTGATAGATTTCAAAACATTTTTAACCCCTTGCATTGAGATATTACCCATGCAAATATTGTACATAAGTGCAACGTAGTAAATTTCTGTGAAAAGAAAAGAGTGTTAAGTATAATATTTTAATCAGGATTTTTTTGATAGCTTTAAATTTCCTCAAAATTTAATTTGATTTTTATGGGATACCATATTTGTATTTTACAATATGGTGTCACATGAAATCTAATGAATTAAAATTTGCATCAAATTTTGGAAAAAAAATGTGATGTTTTTAATTCATCAGAATTTTAAACTTTTGTTTACGGCAGGTACGATAAATATGCAAAGATAACAGGTGTTAGAATGCTAAGCACCATATCCAAAAGATTGATGTGGACAAAGTAATCAACGACAAAATAGGAAAGATTATAGTTCATGGTGCAAATTGGAGAGAAGTATATTGGAGAGAAGTTTAAAAATATTTTTGGAAATATCTAAAATAATATTAAGATAATGCAGATATAATAGGGTTCAAACAAGGTGATACAAGTACATCAAATAGAGGAGATGTAATACTCATCAGTAATTAATAAATAAGACAATAAATGATAAAAATTTCAAGTAATCAGCTTAAAACCTTGATATTTTCAGTACAATTTTTTTTAATGCTTTCCCCAATTCCACGGAATTGGAGCAGATTGCATTAAAAACAGTTTGTCAAGCAGCTTGGAAACTAAAAAAAAATTTTTTTGAAAAGACTTCAGAGGCATATTTTCCCCCTTAAGAATTTCAGTTACAAACAAAATATTTTTGATTTATAGTAGAATAAAGTTTTACAAATTTAATTTGACATGAGAGGTTCCAAAGCAAGGGGTTGTTTTTAAAGCCAGATAGGAATTGGAGATAGTGGAAACACATTTAACTATGGACATATCACTTCTAGTTGAAAAACTTTTTCTTTTTGCTCAGATATATCTAGCAGAAAAACTGGTAGCAATAAAGGCTATGTATTGACAGTTTCACAGAACCAGAAATATACACAAGGGGGAATTTTTTTTCCTTTTATCCTAAACACACAGATGGTGGCACTGCAGAGATGGAGATGAAAGAAGACAGAAAACAGTTGTCAATATGAAATGAGATTTTTCTTAATTATTTAATTATGCAGCCAACAAAGGTAGCACTACCCCACATCATCTTTTCCACTACAAAAACCTCAAAAAAGCTCCAGTATTAAGAATTTATAGGTTTCCAATTTTCCAGAATGATAATTTTACTGAATGATTTAGGTTTTGAATGAAGTTCACCAGCTACTTGCTAAGTATATGATATTGTCTTAGCAATGTAATGATAATACTTTTAAATTTTAGAAACACAATGAGCATATGAACATATAAGATAAAAGAAAGAATCATTAATATTTAAATTACGATTTTATACAATACTAAAAAATTTTCAACATGACTTTCAAAACGCAATGCATGTTTTTTACTTGTTTGTAACGAACAATTTTAAATGTTATGTACACTTTAGGAAAATATATATATTTACTATGCATTGATTCAATAAGAAATATTGATGCAGATATTTAGTTTAGCAATAAATTGCATTAATAGTTTATACAAAATATATTCCATTCAAAATGCAATTTTGGTAAAGATACAAAATTAAATTTTTAAAAAGAATAAAAAGCTTAAAATTTGTTAGATTCTTCTTAAAAAATGTTCTTCATCACTTGAAATTCTTTGAATTAATTTTTTTAATAAAAAATGATTATACAGAAAATGGTTATACTAGATAAGCATAACACATTAAAAAAATGTAACAGAAATTAAAATTAAATTTTCGAATGATCAATAATGAGAACAATTAAAACAAATTTTTTATTAATCAAAATTTTTTATTCTTAAGTCTTATTATTAAGTTAAAAAGAAATTAATAATAATTAGGATAAATAATAAATGTGACAAAAAATATAAATTTTCATTGAATCTTCTAATATAGAAACAAGCAAATAAATATATTAAAAAAATAATGAGAATAAAAATTATATTTGAGAAGTAAAAAGTCATTTTAGAATTCAATTTTATTACAACCCTTTATACAGAAACAGCCTATAAAATTCTAATAGGAATAGTGATCGCGCCATTAATCACTTTAAAAACGTTATGTGCGTTATTTGAACAAAGTGAAAAAATATATATGCACAGGTGAAAAAAAAAATTATTTATACAATTATAAATATTACAGCATACTCGCAAAGCTATACCACAAAGTATAGAGCCTCATAACCAACACTAAGTATGAAATATTATTGAGTGAATGTAATAAAGTAATTAAATTTAAAGACTAGACACATTTCTAAGTACATATTCAACAGCACATAGATTTAATCACAGAGTTTGTTAGACTTTCATACATTTAATCTAACAATAATTCATAAACGGACTAATAAAACATTTGCAACTATGTATTAGGTAATATTTATATAAAATTATTAAAATGCTTCAGATATATATATATTTATAATAAAAACAATCTGAAATATGTCAGTATAAAGATCTGTAAGACTTAGAAATAAAATAAAAAAATTACAGGATTAAATTAAAAAAAGGAGAGTGTAAATTAGCATCCAACTTTTTCAAACTCTTTAACATTTTTTTGATTCGTAATCTAAAACATTTCCCTATCTTAGTTATTCATATACATTCATTTGTGAATGTGGGATAGCACTACCTGTTTTTTTTTATTAATGGCACCTTTAGTGAACTAAGTTATTTTTCCCCACGCAACCCACAATTGGAGAAGCAAAAAGAAAAAAAAAAGAAGATTTGCTTCTCCTAGAGTGAGATTGCAGAATGAGTATAACAGTGTAAGGTGCAGCAAGTTGTTGAATTACATTCCCAGAACTCCACCCAAGGTGGATACGAGTATCACTACCAGGATGATTACACAGATCATAATCATGATCTTCTTCTGCAAAAAAGAAAAGAAAAACAAGAATTAGTGGACAGAAACAATAAGTATAAGCAGGAAGAAAAACTGGCTGCTTTGGATCGTTTGCTTCTTCTCCAATAGTTTAAACCTGATACTATAGCAAAGCAATGGTGCAAACAGAAGTAAAATAATACATAAAATGTTGGCAAAATTCCAATTGGTGCACATTTTAGGTGTTTTTACTATTTAGGTACCTAATATAAATAATTTAAGACCTTGAATAAAAAAAGTACCACATAACTATTTTTTTCTTCTTCGAATATTAGCTGTGAACAACAAAATTTAATAATTCTCGATAACTAAAGGGAAAAATTAATTTTAAAAGATCATTACAAAAATTCTCAGAAACCGTTACTTTTTTTACTCAACCCCAACATTTCAATCTTAACTATGAAGTCTTAATAATTGCAGATAAATAATGATAGTTGGCACCTTTGGTAAAATTTCAATTTGGGCTGTTATAAACCTGAAGCCTATTAACTGAAGCCAATATTTAAGAAAATTAAATCCTTTTAAAAAGTTACAATGGTTTTCGACCTACGTTCGCAAAATATTGGAAAGATGGAGACAGGAGCTTATATTTTTTGAGGGAGAAAGAATTCTCAATTTAACTGAAGGAAAATCCTGTCTGCTTGAAACGTATTTCGAAAATGGTTGTCTTGATGTAAAATATATTTTGCAGAAAAACAGCCTGGCATGAGCATATTTTTTAAATCGCAACAAGACTGTAATATACTATCACACAGAAAAGAGGTGTTCTAATAACATTATTAATTTGACTTTGCATTGTGATCTAGGATTAAAAATGAAAATAACTGAAATGAACTTTGAATATCATATATATGGTAGACGTGTCTCACTCTGTTCATGCTTACATAAATAAGTAGGAAATACATAACACAAATGATTTTCATAGTCTCTGAATTAAATTACTATATGATTATAATGAGAAATAAAGATTAACTGAAAATTTCTATAGTGAGAAGTTGGTTTAGTCCTAATTATTTTGAAAAATTAAAGTTTTACTTGATTTTTTAAGACCTAAATGTGTTGCGGTTTAAGCTCAAAAATTGAAGCCAGTGGAGAACTAGAAGATCCTGAGAAACCAGTTTTCTAACCACACTCTGTAAATAATCACAATTTTTGTAATGCATCATATATAAGTATAAGAGACAGTATCAATAATTTAACCATTTATTGTTCTATTCCTAGAGGAATTTGAAAATTTTTGCTACAGGGTTGTCTCTTCATTAAATAACAGAAAGAAATCCAATTTGTAATGTCGAAAAACTACTAAGTAAAACTAAGGACAAAGGTTCAGGAGTTACAGTTAATGTGTAAATAGATAAGAAAAAAAAAGATCAGTTATGAAACAAGCAGAAATACATAAAAACCATAAGTATAGAAATAAACTTAATCCTTTAAAATTTCAACAAAATTAACTTTTCAGATTGGAATCTATAAGTAATGTATAATTGAAACAAAACTGGTTTTTAGACTAAGGTTTTTAACTTTAAAAACGAAGCTGTTTTTTTTTTTGTAAAAGCCTTTCTCATACTAATAAACTAAAAGTTGTAATAAAATTATGTGTATACAAGAATGTGATTGCTCTATTTAAATTAGTAATAATTGATAATGTAAAAATGCTAAGTTATAGTAAAATTGTTTACATTTACTAGTGTAAATATGATCTATTACAAATAGTTCATATAAAGGAAATGTTGTAAATAAATTAAAAATACATTAATATTTTCTATTTCAATAATTATACAGTTTCCGATAATTATCGAAAAAATATATGCTTAACTAAATATATATTATACATATATATATATATTTAACCCTTGAACTCTCCTTAAAACAAGATTTTTCTCTCTCATCCTAACAAAACAAATTCACAACGCTGGTTTAGATTAATTTTTAAACTAGCAGATCACACGTCTATTATTCAGAAATTCGTCATAATAAAAAATAATTGAAATCATTTTGTTTTGACACAAAAAATAGTAACTCCTGCTGCTGATAAAAAAGAAAATGAGGATTTGTTTAAGTTTGGAGCATTATGTATGATGTTTATGCATAAGTTAATCAAAATGTTGAAACTCGTGAGGTTGTTGGTCTAGGATATGGTTGCAAAAGCTGATGATGCCGATAAAGATGACAAAATGGAACCAAAACCAATGCCAACATTTTTGCGAGGCTTCTGGGCCTTTGAAACAATGAGGAACCTTCAGCATTCAGGCATATTTACAGAAAACGAACAACATTCTATTTCAAAGAACAAAAATTTATTGCTTGCATTGAAAAGAAAAAGAGGGTGTTCAAACCGAAATTTCCAAATATTTTTAAGAAATAAATATGTCTTTTCTCTCCCTAACATGGTAAATGCCTTTTGAAGTAAATACATATATTTTAAATTAAATTTTTTGAATGCTTATTATAAATTTTTTAATTTTCAAATTTATTACTTTTCATATATTCATAGTTTTCTCACATCTATATTTCGCAACAAATGGTTCTGTGAAAAGCAATCAGTGTTTTACTGTAGTTATGAAAACAAATAAATGTCTAAGAGGTTAACAAAAATACAAAGTAATGGGATAACAAATTTATTAATAATGTAAAATATTTTCCAACAAAACATAAAATAAACAGAATTTGTGTTTAATCTCATTTGACAGAATTTAAAAAGGGTACAAAGAAAGTAAAATTTAATGAAAACAAAAGTTAAAACAATAAACATTGTTGCAACAACTAATTAATGCCAAATAATACATTAGAAATAAAGTTTTAAGTATATTAAAATTAAACTAAATTATTTTGTCATTATGAACATGCTTTACAGATTTGTCTTCTTAAGATTAATAAGAGGGTATTCAAAAACATAGTAAAATTAAAAAGAAACAATTTTTTTTCTTTCGATTTTACTAATATTTTAACAACAAAACAGAATTTGCATATAAGAAAAAAAACAGAAATATGTATTCCTGATAATCAAAAATAAAAGCATTAATTAAAAACAGGCTTTTTCATTTTGTCTACATGAGACTCTTTAAAAAGGTTAATTAAGGGAGAAAAAAAACATAATCTTATTAAAAGAAACAATTGTTATTTTTTATTCTACAAATATTTTAGCAATAAAACAGAAAGTGCAAATTAAAAAAAAAAAAAAAAAATCTAAAATTTCAAAATTTTATTCCTGATAATCAAAACAATAACAACATAAAAATATTTAAATAAAATATACATAATACAGAAGTATCATAAAATATTTACACTTCAGAATGGATCACAATGTCTTTCATTTAAAATGAAAAATGATAAAAGATAATTACTACAACACTAAATATATCACACAGTAATTAAGTAGCGAATGCCCCACTATATAAATACAATGAAAAATCAAACTGACAGAAAAAATTTTTACACCATTTTTGCTACTCAGAATTTTGAATTAAAAAATTTGTATTTTAATATGTTGCAACAGGGTAGAGTAGTTTAAACCTAATAAGAACACAAACAAATATTTTTTATTTTCCTAGGTTACAATTACAAATTTATCCACTAACACGTTTTTAAAATTATAACTTAATTTTCAGCTTTTTGTCTTATGTTTCTCGTCATAGAAATAGCAACAACGCAAAAGGTAATCACGATTGCTTCAGATTTTCAATGGTTATTATGAATTCATTATTTTAACTGGCATTCATTATTTGATTAAAAAAATATGCTGATCAGTGACAGCTTTACATAAAATTTATTAAAAAAGTAACTGAAATGCATTAAAAATATCTGTAACTTATTTACAGTTTAATAAATGTAAAAGTGTTGACTATATATATATATTAATATCATAAAATATTGCAAAATAAGGCAATATACAATTACTTTAAAATAAAGAAATACAATTTTTAGTTTTAAGCTTTTAATAAACAAATATAACTTTAAATAAAACTAATAATCAAAATTAAAAAGGTCAAAAAAACACAGAACCTTATTTGGAAAGAATTATATACAAATATTATAGGTAAATATTGCAAATAAGGAGAAAAATAACTTATTGGTGAATGCTTATAAACTTTTAATTAATTTCATGTTGATGACTGCTAAAAGATATTTCTGAATCTTTCTTTGTGTACTTAGAATTAAAAACTTGATTTTACTGTCCAATGAAAATGCATTAAGATGACTAATAACTTTTTATGATATATAGAGTTAAGTATTCATAATGCATAATTATGGCTGTGGTGTGCAATTGGGTACCTACTTGCACTCCAAGAAGAAGACCTCCTGTACCCACACATGCGACCTATTATGTCAATGCAAGCTATTCTTTATGTCAACGCAAGCTAATCTTTATCAGCAAAATGGCATATTAAAGTTGAGCTAAGTTTCTCTATATAAGTTCGAATGTTAATTAACGACAATTTAATTAAATACAGTGCCGTATCACACATTGAATTAGTTGAAATATAATTCCTTCTCGTCTACTTCTTTTACTTAATTTAGATTTATTATTTGCCTATATATTTTATTGTAACTGTGATATATTTTTGTTTTGTGTACCTCACAACTTCGATGCATAATTAGTTTGTTTATGCTCCATATGGCTTCATGCCTGTCTTAGTGCTTAGTCTCTGTGTAAATATATAGTGAAAGAATTGAAATCTTTGCAAAAGAATTTAGAATGTGTCACTTAGAAGAATTGATACTTGATGGGCTTGGCTTACTCGAAATAGAGTGGAAGAAACAGTTGCCACATTTTAACAATCAATCAGGATCGAGATACTCACACTCACTGGAGCCACTCGCAGGTATCCCATTGCTTAGAAATTCACATAAAACTTGGTAGATATGCAACTTGAAGTAATGCATAAGCAAATAAAAGTTTCAAGATATAAGTTTTCCGGTTACATGTTTCATTAAAAAACAATTACAGATAAATAAACTTGAACAGGTCCAACTAAGTGCTGCCCATA